AGCTAAGAAAGACTATAAGTGAGCATTTTAATCCTCTAGTAAAACTTCCTTTATAAAAAGTTGAAATCCTTATGCTCTATTGACTGAAAGGTCATTATTCATGAAATGTCTAAGATTTGGCTCATGGAAATTTAATCAGATGGTTAAAGATGTTAGCAGTTTAGGACTTGCTGGCATAAATGAGCGAACAAATTTGATCTAAAACTATTGTGCATGTTTCTTTTCTTAACCCCAATTCATTCCTTATGTGTAGGCCTCAATCTTTGCAGTATTTGGGTTACTGATTCAGCAGAAGCAAGAACCAATAACTCTATTCTAGTAATCAGAATGTTACCCAACTGTATATTGTTTATTTTATTGTAAATACTGGTAAACAGTGGTCAATAAATAGTTTTATATTCCTTTAAAAAAATTATTTCCCAATTAGGTTTGTCTTGGGTCAAAGAGACTCAAAATTTATGTAAAAATGGAATTTCTAATTCTAAAAATCAAAGTACTTTCTGAAAGCTACAATACAAAAATGATGAAATCTTAGCAATGTGATTTAAAATTACTATGGCCATTATGAAGAACATTCTATATAAACAAAACTGCTCTTTAAAAAAACATAATTAAAATTGAGGACCCCCAATTTAGGTCCATCCAAGCATGCCCACTGATATGCAGAAGCATCTAAAAGATTTAATTTCATTTTGTCTCCTTTAAGACTCTATAAAAAACATGAATAATAAGCTTATGTGACATAAAAAAGTTCTACCAAAGGTTTTCCTTTGTTACCAGCCTGTCCAAAGAAAAAACAAAGCTAGATAAAAGATTTATTAAAATGGTTTAAAATACACCTACAGGTCAAACTATGTTTTTGAGGGTGTGATTTTTTTGTTATAGGGCACGTGTGCTCCCCAGAAAGACAGAGACAGAAAGCGAGAAATCACCCCCCAGGGGGGATGGCCGCGCCACAATCCCTTCTCCTCCATTCTCCTCTCGGGATCTTGGGCACGCATGCACATGTGCCTGGTGTGAGTTTAAACCACCGCATCTGGGACTTGAACCATGGTTGACTACATGATAGTCCAGCGACAGAGCCATTACGCCAACTGTTGGTCTCTATTTTTAATATTTTTCAAAAAATATAATAGCGGGACAATCAAATGGTGTAGTGGATTCATCACTGACTCGCACATAGTCAACTGTGGTTTGGGTCCTGGACCCAGTGACTTAAAACACACCAGGCATGTGTGTGCATGCATGCCCAAAATCCTGAGAGGAGAATGAAGGAGAGGAGACTGCAGAGTGACCATCCCCCTGGGAGGGTGATTTCTCACTTTCTATTTCTCTGTCTCACTCTGTCTCTCTGGCAAATGCACAAACCTCATAGCAAAAATCTCTCTTAAGAATAGTAATAATAATAATAACTTAGTTTACAATGAAAAAAGATTTCAATAAGATTTCTGAAAATTCACTTTGGCAGTAATGAGATACCAGTTGTATTTAAAACCTATCCATAAACTAGAAAAAAATTTCAAAATTTACAGCCAATAAGACCAATTAGGGTTCCAAGGGGGTAAAAGCCACCCTCCCCCAAAATGAATAATTAACATACACGTTTAACAAAATGCTTAATAAACTATCATCTAGCTTTAAATATCCTTTCTGTTTTAGGTGCTTATGTTTAGTACTTAATAAAACTGAGTTGCTATACCTACCTCTGTCCTGACTTTGATACCACAGACAGTTAAATTAAAAAGGTGGCTGAATACTGCTGCCTTCTCAGCCACCAGATATTCTAGGGAAGTCTCTCAAGAGTAAGGAACAGATGATGTGTCATAGGTGCAACTTATAGTTGGTTTGCAGGCATCCTAAATGGTGAGTGGCAGGCTTGGGTTTCTTATGAGTTTTTTAATCTTTATATTTTTCCTGGTAGGCCTCCAGGTTATGATTTGTGTTAGTAGAGTCTGACAAAGGTAAATGCCTCTTTAAGTCAGGCCCTTTTACAGAGAACTATGGTTGTTAATCATCATAGACAACGACAATGAACTTAGACTCAAATACTGGTAAATCGCCTATGTTGCCTGAACTCTAACCTGTTTAAATTCAGTCCAGTTTGTTCATAGAACTTTTGTTAGAGTACACCTTAGTCATCACAGTAGTCCTTCTGGTGTGCTCTATCCTCTCAAGTCTTAAATGCTTTGTATGCAGTCATCCATTGAATGCTGAATGGTCTTGTTTTAACCAAATCAGTAAAAGCTCAAAGGAAAAAGATGTACGACATCATATTCAACTGTGTGATACTGTGACTTGAGAATTCTATGCCAAAGACCAGAGAAAATCTGTGATTTCTTTTTTCTTTCTCACTTTCTTTCTTTCTTTTTATTTTTTTATTTTTTTGAGAGGTTTTTGCTATAGGGCGCCTGTGCTCACCAGAAAGACAGAGAGAGACAGAGACAAAAAGCAGAAAGCGAGAAATCACCCCCCCCCCGGGAGGATGGCCATGTTGCAATCCCTTCTCCTCCATCTCTTTTTCGGATCTTGGGCACACATGCACATGCACCAAGCATGCGTTTAAGCCACCGGGTCCGGGATTCGAACCACGATCGACTAAATGGTAGTCCAGTGACATAGCCATTATACTAACTGCTGGTACTGAAAACCTGTGATTTCTGCACTGAAACCAGAAACCATTTCTGATAGTGACAGAGAGTGACACAAATGCCCTAAGTTTTGGTCAATCTCTCAAATTAAGAGGCTGAACAAAAGGGAGGAAACTGTTAAACTAAACTATTTTGGGACCAGCAGTTAGCACAATGGCTATATTGCTGGACTCCCATGTAGTCGACCGCGGTTCGCATCCTGGACCCGGTGGCTTAAACTCACGCCGGGCATGTGTGCGTGCGTGCGTGCCCAAGATCCTGAGAAGAGAATGGAGGAGAAGGGATTGCAATGTGGCCA